GGTATAGATGAGGAAGCGGGCTGCAGGATACTTCTTGGCACACTGCTGGTCAGCTGTGTGTGTCCTTGAGGTGTGTGTGGGGGGCCGGGGAGTACTGCCTGTGCGTGTGTGGGATGTGCACAGGGTACCTCTGCTCTGCTAGGCCTGGGGGGGCGGGGGGGGCTTTGTGTTCCTGCGGTGCTCTTCCTGGTGTTTTCCAGATGTGGCCCCACTGGGAAGGGCCAGGTGGATGGGCAGGGGCTGGGGTGAGGGAGAAGAAGGGCCAAAGGACAGGAAGGCGCTGCCCCAGACACAGAATCGCTTCTGCTCTTGCCTGCTCTGGAGGAGGGAGGAGGGCTCCTCCTGGCCGGGCCCTAGGCTAAGGGACCAGGCTCTGGGCCACCATCGAGCCCCGCCTCTGCGGACATGGCTCCACATGACTTGGGGTGCTCTTCCCAGGGTTCCCTGGAGGCAGGCGGGGGATGTGGGCCAGCAGCCTCCAGATGCTTCCCTGGGGAACCCCGGGAGGTGTAGAGAGAAGCGGTTGAGGGCCCTGAGGAAACCCAGCCGGCCTCAGTGAAGTGACTGCTCCCACAGGCGTCAGGTGCCTTAAGGGCACATCCGCCACGGCTGGTGGCCCGGGCCCTCGGTCTAGACCTGGTTCCCAGGAGCCCTCCTCCCCAGGCCCTGCTCTCTTCTTGTTGGCTGTCTGCTGCAGAGCCCGCCATTTCTGCTTCCTGCAGTCCTGCCACACACCCCAGCTTCCTCGCTTCCCCTCTTTTCCTCCTCTCCCGCTTCCTGTGTTGTTTCCCTGCGCTGAGACAAATCGCCAATTAAGCAGCCCAGCTGCAGGACAGGGAACAGCTGGGGAGGCACTGTGTGGCCTAGGGGACAGCTGTGCACAGCTGGTGGGGGCGCTCCCCCCCTCACTGTGCCAGCTATCAGGTGGCACACAGCTGCTGCCAGATAACACCTCTTCTGGCGACTGGGAGTTCGCCCTTCCCCCGCCTCTTCCCTCTGTGGTTAAAGTGGCTCTTATTTCTCTGTTCTGCAGCCCCCTACCCCCCACCCAAACTGACTTGATTTGTGCATCAAAGATGGCAGCTCTGGAGATCTGCTCCAGCTCCACCTTACCCCTCCCTCCCAGCCTGGGCACAGCCTCTGAGGCCCAGCCCAGAGAAGAATCAAGCTCCCCACAGAGGACCTGGCCCCGGGCTGTGCTTTGTCATAGTGTCATTTGGATATGGTGCTCACTGGGCACAGAGGGTCCTCAAGGGGTGTCCTCTGTGCCCCTGTCTCCTGCTGA